AGAGAGAGAGAGAGAGAGAGAGAGAGAGAGAGAGAGAGAGAGAGAGATGGGTGATGGACTCCACCGCATCACACTCGGGGGAGGCCGTGCGGGCATCGCCATCAAGCAGCCCCTGACAGCTCATACCACGCCTGAGCAGCTCTCTGATGAGCTGCGGCAGGGCGGAGGGGTGGTGGTGGCGGCGGGGTGCTGCTGCAGAGGAGGAGCAGCAGGGGAGAGAAATGTGCACCCTCAGCAGAACAGATAGTGCTGTAGAGAGGCACATTAACCACCAGGGTTATTACTGTAGAGCAGGCCATGGGACACTGCAGCTCTCTGAGACGCCCCACTGGCTCTGCAGTTAGCTGTAGGCCCTAATGCAGAGATCTGCCCTCCATTACGGCCTGCTGGGCCTTACTGTGTACCCACACTTCAAAATCTGGAGATGGGGTGTCTCAATAAGCTTTAACTGGCCCTCACTCTTAATGCATTTGTTATAACTAACAGCTGCATAGAGTTGAACTAATTTGTTGAGGGGCTGCACACTTCCCTGATGTTAGGTATCATTGTTCAAGATGTTAAGTTACAGTAATATGTGATCAATAAAAACATTCAGCATATGAGCAAAATACACTTTACTATGAAATCATACAGATTATTATTCTGTAGCATTATTTTGCAACGTGTGTTTTTTAATCATTCTATATCATTCAATATAATATAGCATTTTTTTTTACTTTTTACTATATGCTACAAATCTTTCAGGGGTCAGAAATGTGGCCTTTAAATTGAAGCTTGAATAGATTTAATGTGTTGTAATGCAGAGAGCATTAAATGCAAACTGTTTAATTCAGCTTGTTTATTTAAAATGCTACTTTAGATTTTTCATTACATATTTCCGAAATGTTCCTATTTATCAAAATCTATTCGAGGCTTTTTCTAGGCCCACATACATGTTAGTAAAAATACACTAATCCCCCCCAAAAAAACAGTAAATAACATTTCTGAAGTAAGAGACAAGTCTCTGTTGCTCCATCAGACCTGATCTCCACACCCTTGAACCGCAGAGTGCGCTCGGGTCAATGCAAAACACCCGACTGTGCTGACACAAAGCATCTGAGATAAGAGCAGCCGGCTTATCTCATTGTGGTCAGTGAAATGGTGCGTGAAAAATGTGCAGTGTCAGGGGAGGCGAGGCTGGCTAAATGATGCCACAAGGAGCAATATCATGACATCACATCATTATCGCTGGTGGATATTGAATTTTCCTTATTACTTTTTATAGCCTTTAAGATAAAATGACTACGTCAATTGCTGGAATAAAAGTATTCACATAGCTTGAACTTAGATAACGTAAACAATTTTTTCGTGTAATTCATAAAAACACAATAATGGCTACGTATATATATATCTATATATATATACATATTTTTAAAAGGCAAAATATGAAAACAAAGCCATTGCAATGATCATAGAATTATGTCACCTTAACCGTTTAAATAATAGCAAAATGAATATAAATAATTGAATTAATACTGATGTTTTTAAACACATTTGGAGTCCACAATGTTTGATTTAAGGAATATTGATTTTAGAATAAAAGATAAACTGTCAATACATTTTGGAGTAAATGGAAACCTTGCATGTTTTCTTTCAGAAATAATAGCCCAAATATAATTAAATAAAATATGCAATGAAAACATGTACCATGCATGCACAAATCCTTCAGCAAATTGGGTTTTTGTAAGCAATCTGAGAGGGGCAAAGCAATATTGCAGTTGCAGATGTGTTAAAGTCTAAGTGAAAAATTGCCAAGGATACTGGTGAAAACAAATCAATGTTTCTTTTATTAATAGTCTATAGTTAAAAATAGCAGTCATATTTAAAGGTACAATCTACCTGTCTTGTTCTGGCTGTGTGAACAGCAGAGAAACGGACAGGGAACAATGCGAGTGGAATGTATTCCTATGATGTAAATGCTACTATTAACTGTAAAGTGCTGCCGTTATTTCAGTGTTTTGTTGCTCGAGTGGCTTTCCAATCTCGAGCCATGAAAGTGAAACAATGCGCCGCGCAAAGTTTCATTTATCTTTGTCCACTGGATGGTGGGAGGGAGGAGGGGGGGCGAGAGAGAGAGAGAGAGAGAGAGAGAGGGAGAGAGAGAGAGAGGGCAAACGACAGAAATACTGCATTCCCTCTGCAGACACAGAGAGCTCAGTGCGCCCTGGAAATCCGCAATGAGAGCCGCTAAATAATGTCCCGACCAGAGTCTGAGCACATGAGCATATCCTGTGAAATACGATTAAAATTACAAGCAATGCTGCCGATTTATATCCCATTTTTCTGTCTGCACAGACTGAGTCCAATACTGTCTCCAGAGAAATGTTACTAGGCTGCTCTAATCGAAATATGTTGCCATGCATTGCACCCTTCGGCAGTCTTTAATTCTGCATGCAACATCAGGACACTGGCAAAAGATCTCCAATACTGTATTACAGTTCTACGGTTACTGTACTGAACTTTAAGGCGCTGCAGCAGCAAAGACCTGTTTTTGAGCTATGCGATTAGGCTCCATTTATAAACAGTCAGCGTGAGTTATAACAGCTTCGCACTGCCTTCACTCTGTGCGGCATTGCTTATCAAAGAAGCATTATGTATCAAACCGCTGACAGGACATGAGTGTGAAGGACGATGCCAAGGCAATTTTAAAGACTTTTAGGGTCTATTACCCTTCCCTCACCTTGCAGCCGCTCCTCCCCAGCCCGACTAAAATGATTCAGCCTGGTCTTAAACAATGACGCACCACATTTGCAATAATCACGTTCCCTTTTTTTTCCTTCTTTTTGTCCGGGGCAAACCTCACCTGAAGATCCGGATTATCCTCGTGCTGATGGTGCGCTTCTTCTGCTGCCTCCACGAGCCGCTGAGAGGAGGACAAAATGTTTTAGCTAACACACGCAATACGTTTAAAATAATGCAAACGACCAAATTCTATAAAACATGCATATTTACAATAGGAAAATATGTACTTATTCTTTAAGACTTTAACAAACTTCCCAAAAGGCCTCCATAAATCCCTTCAAAGCCATGTGGTTCACACTTTGCTGCTCTCCGTATTTCTCAAACTTGCTGTTTGCACATTATTCTGTCCCTCCATCATTTTTAAATCTCAACAAATGTCGTTCCATTGAAGAGGAACATGATCGAGGGCCATTGCCAGGTTTAAGATTAATCTTTGGATTGGATGGAATCCATGTCAAGTTTTTGTTTTAATAGCATGTGTTGCCAGAACTGTTCTCCCGTCCTTGGAAATCCTTATAGTAATATTTAAGGGCAAACAAATGTGCATAAAATGTAGGGCACTACTGGGGAGTGCCACAGTGAAATGATTGATGGAGGAAGGTTGGAGCAGGATTTCATGTCGTGTACCAAAGCACCATCGCTTCTGTAATAACTCGATTCTGGAAAATGTGCTTGGCTCTGTGTTTCCGGGAAATGCCACCTAGACGTTACAGTCACTCTCGCCTTCGGAGCCAAGCAGGTAATTAACGTCTGTCACATGTGACAAAATAACTGCTATATAAACACAACCGAGGCGGTGGTGACCAAATTCAATTGACCTCGTGGTGAGATCTCATGTCGTCAGCAGTTGGCGAATATAAAAAAACATAATGATGTAAATATTTCTGACTTATATTCTCTTCTAGGCATCATTTTTCTTCTTATGAAATATACCTGCTGACACCCGACCTCCACCACTGAAGTCACTGCCTCATTTTAAAACTCGCTTCTCAATTTGGATCAAAGTAATGACGTCCCCAGATTAGGATTTAGCACTCCCGTTTTGATGTAGTTTTTTTATTTTTCTATTTTTACAAAAGCCAAATTTGTGCCTATTGTTTTCGCATAATTAAAAAAAAAATATGTTGATGCATCTCAGGGAATCAAAGCAAATTAATAGCTGTCCTACAAGTGTAATTTATAGGCCGAACTGTCATGAATTTGTGCACACGTGGAATCAGGCGGGGGGAGATAAACGTTATCATTTCCCAGCAGTCCCTGCAAGGTGCAGCATTAAAATGGTTACAAGCTCCTCTGTGCTGAGGTCGCAGAGAGGCTGCGGCTGTGAGGCTGACAACCGCTCAGGCTGGACTGTAATAAATTACATGCAAGACCATTTTCCAGACGGACCTTTTACACCAACGTTAAGTACAGATTTGGTCTTTGAACAGCTGCGTTTCTAGGTGACTAATCTGCTCAATTTAGGGACTATACAAAAATGTGGCCTATTGTGATGGGGAAGGGTCTATGTTTGACTTTTTAAAAAACCATTACCCTCCCCACATTTATTCATATTTTCTTTCGACCCAATAAGAAACATTGCATCCTCCCCCTAATATCTCAAAACAAAAGAACACCTTTCTCCTATTTAAACCTTAATATGTTGACAAAGACACATAGCCAACAAATGGCACTTCAGCAGTACAGTCAGTTATTGCCAAAAATATGGCTCAACAAACTGAACAAAATGCTGCAGAACATTCCAGAAATATGAATACAATAAAATGCTTTTCCCCACGACATATTTAATATTGCACCTACCCTGGTGGCCTCTGCTTTTTTCCGGAACACTTCCTCCATCTTCACAGCCAGGTTTTTGACCAGTTTCACACCATCAATTTCTTCCACTCTGACTGACTTCTCAAGTTCTTTGTATTTCTGAAAATAAGCGGGGAACAAAAGTATGGCATTGGCAGAGGGGACGACTCTAAATCTTTCAACATTGGCTGCAAGAATACATACTGGAAACATATTGAGCTCAGATGGTTGATCAACCCATTAGGAGTAATTTAAATGTCCACTTAATAAGAAAAAAAAAACATAAAGATAATCATCTTTTCTGTGTGTGTCCTGCAACATTTTAGAGTACTATTGTTTCATTACATTCCACTCCAGAGAGGTGGGGAATTGTTAAACAAGGCCTATAAGCTTTCACATGTTGGCTGACAAGCTGCATGCAGCCAGTCTCAGATGAACGGCTGATAAAACCCTCCCTGCAACACAGAATGATTGATAGTCTTTATCCCGTCTCAGTCATTGGCTGCACATGGTGCTTCTTCCTCTCCGATTGGCTGGAGATGGCCATGTTGGGTGGCCGTGGGGGGTGGGGGGCTGAATCTGAAGGCTATGCATGGTAAGAGGGTAATTGAAATGGAGTCAAAGCACAGGAGAAAGATAATAACGTGTCAAGCTCGGGCGATTCTGGGTAATGAACTACACCTCACATAATGCTGATTCTGCTAGATGCACAGGACCTCCAGTGATACAGAACAAAGCCCGCCACAGCTCGGAGGAATATAACATTACATAATCCCACACCTGGCGCACACGCACGCACACATGCTAACTAAAAACAAAAACCTGATCCTCTCACGCTGTCCAGTCAGCTACATCACACACTTCCAAGATCTAAAAATAAACATATGCCACGTTAGGCTCGTAGCACACATTCAAACACATTACGCATCGTGAGGACAGGATGCACACAAAACACACACACACACACACACACACACACACACACACACCAGTACATGAGGCGACAAATTACCTACTGAAAGGAAGAGTGTGGGCTCGCAGTGGAGCAGAACAGTTCATTTCACGCCTGTCCTCCTCGCCTCAGCACCCAGAATCCCCAAGTCCCCCCCCTCACACTCCTCCAGTCATCAAGAGGAGGTCAAGCCCCATTCATCAAAAACACTGATCATGATTATTGATTAGAGTAATGATGACCAATGCTGTAGTAAGGCCGGGAGCCTGAAGAGCTCGAGTGTTTCCCCCTTTACTGAAATCTTAGTGAAATCGGGTAATTCGCCATAAAAGCATCTAATGATCAGCCTTAATGACCAGCCTCTAACGACCCGTCAGTTCCCTCACAGCTCACTGCTTTGTGCTGACTTGCTCGGCACAGCTCTCTCCAGACGTGCCTCCATGAACAGGAACACGAGCAAAGTGCTTACATACACACACAAAAAAGGGAACAAATCTGCAGGGCATGTTACAAAATGTTTTTATACAAAAAATGAAAAGTTTGGTTAGAAATGGAAGGACAGCGCTTCAGCTTCTACCACACGTTTGAACTTTAAATCATATCTTATATTAAGGAACTGTCACCTCAGAGCAAGGAGGTCCTTGGTTTGAACCCAGGAGCCGCTTTCTATATGCAGTTTGAAAGCTCTCCCCATATTTGCGTGGACTTCCTCTGATTCCTCCGCTTTCCTCCCACGCTCCAAGACATGCAGCATTTTTAGGATTGATCCTGCTACCGCCCTTGGCCGAGGGACTGGCCTCAGAACTGGAGTTGGTCCCCGGACGCGGCGCTGTGATCGCCCACAGCTCCTAAAATAGTGAGGATGAGTCAAATGCAGAGGATTAACAAGTATGACAAGGACTCATGTAGTAACTTAACCTACAGGAAGAAATGAAAGTGTTGTTATTGACACATGGATCACAGTGTCCAAGCAGAAAATGTTCTGCAGAATTTATAATGTAAATGATGATGGCATTGATAAACATGGCATCCATACAACTATGATAATTAGACCGAAATGTCAGTGAGGTGTTGATTCAGTTCTGTTGTCATTGTCAAGACTGTAGTTTGTGGTGTTCTTGAATTAAAATGCATATACGCATTAAAGGGTGTTCTTCCATACCGACCAGTTCTTCTTGTGCGTCCATTGTTACAAATTCATGTTATGTGGCCAAGCTTTTGTTAAACCCACATACGTCTATTTAATGTGTTGAGTTTGAATATTTCACATAGTCTAAGTATTATATAGTCTGTTGAAACAAGGGACAACTGTCACAGAGAGGATGTACTTTCTTTAAATGTAGGGTTTCTTATTAAATGTAAAATAACTTTATATTTTTGTGGCTTGTGCAGTCTGTGTTCATGTTTTTAGCGTCCAGTCCGTCTCTCCGTATTTTTCTTTTCTCTTATTTTCATTGAAAACTTCCTTAATAATTAAGGTTAAATTTAGGGGTTAATTAGGATTTAATGCCTTTAAAATATCATAAGACATGAATGTTAATTTTGTACAGCTAGTAATCTCTCACACATCTATATATAAATCTAACATGGGTAAAAGAGACAAATTGTAAGCATGCTGACGAACGGTGAACATTCAATGCACCTAACTCAGTTCAGACCACCCGAGGCCTGGAAACACAGAGCGCACCTTTGCCATCCAGTGGACAAAAAGTGAAATCTGCTGCACTGGGTCATCGCTCATTCTCTGCTGATTTCACTCATCATATCAACATCGCCTCACCCATCGAACTCAAACACACACTTATTCAATTTGTCTCCTTGTCGCATTCATATCCAGAGGTTGAAACTCTTGACTCCAGAGAGACTCTGGAGAGATGAGAGGAATCAGAGCCGTGGTTAATGGGCCGTGTCGAGTACAAACACACCCACGCACACACACACACACACACACACACACAGGCACACACACACACACACACACACGCACACACACACACACACACACCTCTGTCCCTGCCAAACACACCTGAGTCTCCTCTAAAACAACGCATCAACATTCAGCTGAGACACCGAAATGTCTCTGCAGCCATTAGATTACATAGTACAATGTGTGTAACGACCATCAGACAAAAGGAAAAGTGCATTTGTGTCCACAAGACTGGGAAATAAGAAGAATACCTTTTGCAGGAGTTGGGATCCAGAATATTTTGCAGAGATGGATTTAATTTCTCCACCAAATGCTGAAGCCCATAGCTTTACGCTAGAACAAAGTGCAGACAAATAACAGTTTAGCCAACAGTCGCCCAAGTATTATAGAACAATGTGCGTATACAAATGTGAAATGAAACACAGAGAAAGGTAAGGGATTATATTAAATAAAGGAAAATAATATCTTAATCTAGCTACTTTTAAATGTCTTGTCTCTCCTCAGCTGTCATTTTCTTTTAGCTTTTTTATCTTTTCATTTTCTGACGCGATCAGTCAGAAGATTATAGCCATGGCCCGGTGTCCCTGACCTTCACTCTCATGACAAATGATTGCTTTCATTTTGATGATCTATACTGTAGATATTAGCGTTTCTATTAAACTGAAAATGTCTCTTGGGAAGGAAAACTACATTTAAAAAAATTAAAGATTTGTAGTTAGCCCATGCGCAGTGAAGTGTCCAATATCTGCAGAGCCAATTGTTCAAACACAGATCAGAGGTATTTGGAAATAGAACCATTTCCTAAACTGTTTCATTAAAAATGAAATAATTTCAGTTACGGTTCTGTTTTCTACTGGTTTGCCTAATATTATTGATTGTTTTTGTAACATTGTGGATTTTAAACTAAACTAACCCTTGGAAGACCTTGCAAGGACAGCATTTATTTTCTTTATTTTTAATTAGAAGTGCTACTCCTGATCCGTGCAGTTAAAGACACAAAATGCCCTGCAGGATATTTAATCTAGCCTTTTTAAGGTTGTGCTAAGAGTTTAAAAAATATGTAACTCTGACATGAACGTTGTCCACTTTTTGAATATGCATTCACATATTATACTTTGACTTGGGAATTTTCTTATCTGAATTGTTTTAGGTAGAAATAGGAAACAAAATCCTGCAAATAAAAGTTCCCAGAGTAAAAGGTATTGCTATTTAACAAGGCTCACAATCTGACTAATGAAGAAGAATGTGATTCACTATCAGTTCACTATTGTTGTGATATGCAAGCAAATTGAGCATTATTAGATTACATTTGTAAAGACCTGCAAAAGTGTGAATTCAATTGAACCAATTTAAAGTTATCGGAAAAGTTTGTGAAAGTTATCAAAAAAGAACCTGCTGTTTATCAAGTTGAATTAATATACATGTCGGAAAAATTATTTAGATAAAAGGTTCCTCTAAAAATGCACGTCATGTCCATGAGAAATAAAAGTGTCTGTAGTTTGTGGCAGAACACAGTGGAGCCTAACAGTAACGCCTGCTATTTTAGAACACATATCATTTTTATTGTCAATTTATTGAATGTATATAATGCTGTCATATAACATAAAACAAAGGGGAGATTTTCACTCATGCTGCTTATTTGCTGAAATCCCATCTGTAATTGCACGTTCCCTTCTACCAATAGTATCACTCTTTACCAATACGTGTTGAGTTAAACCTGTAATACGGCCTGTGTGTAACATAAAAAAGGCAATTTAAAAACGCTGAACATCTAATGTCTATATGTCCGGCCTGCCAGAGATCAACTTCAGTTAATTGCATGTGAAAGAAAGTTGCAGAGCTGCCTCTCACTCACACTGACAGAGGGATCCCTTGCTGGGACCCCGCCACCTCCACCACATTCAAGCCGACGAGGATCCAAAGCATAAGGAAGCTGCTGCTGCTGCTGCTGCTGCTGCACATGTGCGACAACAGGATTCTCCAGCTCCCAAACATCTTCAGCTCGGATAATAAAATATCTGTACAGTAAAAATCCCGTCCCAACACCGTACTGGACTGCTGGACCCCGGTGCACAGTCTCCAGCCGCGGTTCTGCCAGCACGTACCCTACTGTATCTGAGAGAGAGAGAGAGAGAGAGAGAGAGAGAGAGAGAGAGAGAGAGAGAGAGAGAGAGAGTCACCTTCCAGCCTCAATACTCTTCTCATTCGCCTTTCTCTGGAAAGGGAAACCCCCTCAGTCGGTTCTGTGCTGCAATGATCACGAACCTTTTATTCTTGGAAACGTGTCGTCTGCATGTTTGAAACAAAGACTGAAAAGCTTAAGGAGGCGAAATGGACCCTGATTCCTGGAGTCGAGGGGGGTTCCTCAATGTCCAACTGAGAAGAGCAGCATGGACAGGTGTTTGCCGGCCACAGATCTACCGAGAATCATTTTAATTAATCAGCAAAATGCTGATGATCGCTATGAACTTTGGTTCTTCTCTGCGACGCACTTCTCTCATGTCGACTGCTCAGAAGTTGTTGCATTTAACGCTGACGCTGCAGTATGCTACACGCTTGATCTGCTCTCTCCCATCTCCACGCTGCACACACACACACACAAAACCCGCGAAAGCGTGGGATTTTATTATAACTGCAATGTTATTATTATGGATTACATAATGGATTCGTAAGAATATGGAAGTTAAAATAAGCAGCACACAATAAGGGGAGATTCTGGACATAAAATGGCTCTCTGGGCGATAATGAGACTGCAGATGTTTCATGGAGGCTTCCGCACTGCCAGCAGCATAAAAGAGAAACAATGTGCACATTGAGTTCAGATAATGAACAGTCCTAATACAAAACAACCAAAATGAGAGACAGTGGTGGAAGAAGTATTCAAATAATTTACTTTAGTAAAAGTGCAGTATAAAGATACTCAATTTCATGTAAAAGTCCTAAACCCAAAATTATAAAAGCGGTATGTTCTTACAGTATTTATTGTTAATGTAATAATGCAGCCTACTTTAATTTTGTCCTTGGTCAAAGTGGAGCTTATTTGAGCCATTTCATCTGTGATAATGCATATTTTATAATCTTACGTTTTGTATGTAAACCTTTAATTTGAAAAATATTTCTAACTAATACTCTTAAATAAATGGTGAAAAGTAGGCTACAATATTTCCTACTGAAATGGGGTGAAGTAGAAGCATGAAGTATATAGCCAATAAAATGGAAATACTCAAGTACAGTAAAGTACCTCAAAATGGTAAGTAGTATTGAGTAAATGTACTTAGTTACCTGCACCACTGGAGAGAGATACATGTAAATAAATACATCTTTGAGCAACATTTCCATGTTAACTTTGTGTATTTGTCTGTGAATAGCTGAAGTCTGATGATTCATTAATGACGTCACTGGACCCCAGAGATTAGTCAGGTACAGACTAAAGGTGTAGTGAGTTAGCGCCTCTGTCGCGAGACTGAAGAAACAACTCATGAAGTTTATGAAGTAGGCTTCGAAGTTTCACTCGGTGTCATCAGTGCTTACTATATAAAATAAGACTGGACAATGTTCCCGTCGTCTTCTCTAAACGCTGATTAGGAAGCGATAATGATGTCAATGCAGCAGGAGGGTTGATGCACCACCACCAGGAACCGTGTTTCCACTTGAAGCTTTTATTAGTTTAGTAATTGCATCGTACATCAAAGTTGTGAGGAGCCTGTACTGTCTGGGACGTGCCGATAAGGTTCCTGCATGTTGGATGACGGACAGTATCATCCAGCCTCTCTCACAACACAGCCTCCCTGAGTGCTTTAATTAACTATTGATGGCAAATAAATGCAGTTCTCTGTCACGATATACTGAAAAAAGTCCACTAGTTTTATTTGTCCAGTTGAAGACACGACTGGGACTCATGCTGAAGTGTCTTTGAGCAAGGAATGTGTTACCTTCTTCCGGGTCGTTGCACCAGTCTCACCATCCTTAACACATCAGGATACAAAACACATTCTCAACTCATTGCAGTTGTCTATGTTTGTTCACAGGGAGAATTAAAGGAACAACTCTGTGTCCCAGCTGTGCACATGGCTCCCAGCATTCACAGTCCTACAGTAAATATATCCAATAACATTGTGTGGGTGTTTTCCTTGTACCTTCATCACATCACATCTCAAATACTGTCCGCAGCAGGTAACAGCGGTGCGTCGTTACAGTGACATTACATTTTTAGCGTTTTGGCGTGTTTGGCGAGGACAATCCCAAAATCTGCTGCCTCTGTCAAGCAGACATATTCAGCTCTCAAATACATTAAAACGTATTCAAGAAATACAACTGGGGAGGCTGCACTGTCATCACTGGCGTCCATGAATGGAGAAGAACCTCTTGCTGGAACTGAACCGCACCGATGTTCTGTACAACCGTAGGATTAAACTCTTTGTAATCAAAGAGAGGAGGATGGACTTTGTCTTTAAATAGTGATAAGCAGCTTTGGTAAGTGAACTGCTTTTGTTTTTTTTTACATCTGCAGTAGCCTTACTACATTTTTACATCGTGTTGTTTTTATGATACGGTTAATATTGTTCCCTCTGATGCGAATGATATTTGAATGGCCCGTGCCCTCGAGTGTGTGTGACGCAACATCCCGTCATGCTGCATAGTGACAGACCTGCATCCTTTATAGTTTTGTATCTGCACTCTGCAGTTAGTGTATTTGTAGCCCTCAGAGGTGTTGAGCTTCATGTAACATTTTATTTCACTTGTCAAATGTTGCAGTGTTATGTGAATGTGAGGTTTTTACACGGAAAAAATAATAACCCGTAGCTGTGTCATAATGAAGTTATTAGGAGGTGAATGCAGTAGGACAGCACTGAAGGCCCGGGTATAAAATACACGGCCCGCCACTGGTGGAGTCAGATGAGAGTGATCACAGATCTAGACTAGCAAAGTTATAGCCATTAAAATGTTTAGGGGATGTGAACAGGTTGAAAGGAAGCAGGGGGAGATTTTTCTTTTCATGCTGCGACAGCTAAAGTCAGAGGCATTATGTTTTCAGGTTGTCAGGAGTTTCTTCAATTTTGACTCAAGTGTCCATTTGGATGAACTGATTAGATTTTAGTCTTCAAAGGTCAAAAGTCAAGTCCACTGTGACCTCATAAAAAACATTTTGGCCATGACTCGGGAATATCCTAATCATGACAATTTCACACAAATGTCTATTAGGATAAACTTATGAAGTGATGACATTTTGGACAGACATGGATGTAAACTGCAACTTGACTGGTTGGGGAGACGGAGGTTTCTAGTTTACCTTATATTTTGTGGTTATGGCTGATACTAGGGGAGGATCAGCCAAGAAAAAAAGATAAGAATAGACCAAATAAAAAAAAGAAAAAAGTTAAAAGTGAAGGTGATAGAGCATGGAATAAAACATGAGTCAACCTTGGTGAGTCATTGAACAGATGGAGAGAATTGCAGGATTTTACAAAACCAATCCTGAATTGTCCTCCTAGATTGTGATATTTTATTCATAGAGCATTGCATTTTCTTCTTACACACCGCCTACCAGCCCTCGGTCCAGCCTCGTTCTCGGGCTCATTCACATTAAAGGAGGAAGGAAAATAACATGGTATACGGCTATATTGATTTACAGACGTCTCTTTCCCAATGTCAGTCTATAGGAAAAAATATGTTTGGGCCCAATGGACTCGGAAGTTGTAACTCCACGGTTTGGCCATTATGTAAAATATGATTCAATGCGTGGTGCTCTTTCCTGGAGCGGTGATTATTGAAAACACTACTGCTTTCGTCCTCAGGGGCCGACAGCATCAACACAAAATATAAGTTCCTTGTTGTTGCTGTAAAGACAAATAGTTAAGGTTGACGTGCAAGCTTATTCTGGGGCTTTCGACCAGCTGTCATGGAGGTTGGTCTGTTGTCATGCATCATTTAATCCATAGCTCTTTGAGGAGTTTTTGTCCAGGAAGGCTCGATGTAAGTTTATGTTTAACCTTGGAAATAGAAGTTTAACGAAACAATTTGAATTCAATGGTCACCATGTAGTTGAGAAAAGATACAGGGGAAAAGCTTCACATAAAGGCATAACGCTTTTTATTAGGAGCCAGACTGCTGTTGAACTCTCAACCCAAACAGTTGTAATTTCTTTCTTGACTTGATTGGACGTAAACCTCTTCAAGGGTTAAACTTCGGACACCTGCCATGTTCAGTCTGGAGGCTTAACCTCACCTCATGCCTTCAGCAGACGCCGGATAATTCATGTCAGACTACCTACAACTGTCAACTTATTCTCATCCTGTGAACTGTTACTGCAGAGAGATTACATCTCACCTCAGCGTACCACATGTTAATTCAGAGCTTAACCAGTTACTTCACCATTTGAGGAATACCAATGGGGTTAAATGGGATCTCACTGCAGGAACACAGACTTGGTCTTGAGCTGACCTAGGACAAAAACATTGTCATCTGTCAGACTTAAAAAGAAAGCGGACTATCCAGAGATGCATCAGAGGAATCGATTTACATTTAGTTTACATTGTTGTTCAGCAGATGACTCAGTGGATGTCTGTATGCAATGAGCTGCACTGGGTTTAATTAATGTATATTTCCATCATTATAATCCCTAGTTGGCCAAACTGAACCATTATCAACTAAAATAAGGTATGTAGCTGTGTGGTACTTCAGGAGGACATTTTTAAGACCCAACATTAGATAAAAGTTTGCAAAGATGCCTTTAAGCTGTACGAGGAAGTAAACTGTTCCCACATACTGATTCATCAAAACAGAACTTAACTTGTCTGTTGAAGTAAAAATAATTAAAATGCTTCAGTAATAGTGAAGGAAATACAATCAAGTGTCCACCAGAATATGTCTTATAGTTGGCATTGATTTGTGCGGTTAATACTTCCATGGTGCAATGATGTTTTGCAGCAGGTTTAAATTAATCAATTTGTCATTTTCCACGTTTGGGTTGAATATAAACAGTTTTCAAAGGAGGAAGATCATGCTTACAAAATCAATTTTTACATAAACGTTCTACCTTTTCTCATATATCTGAGACTTGATGACTGTAGCTCTCTTTATGTGGGAGTCAGTGAGTCTCACG